GGGATGCCTTATATTTCAGCGAGAGGCAAAACTGTAAGTAGGTCTTATTTTCGGGGAATGTCTTACTTTCCAGGAAACACGGTAGTACACAATTGTTTTCTAATGAATAAAGTCAAAGCAAAAGTTGATTTCTGTGTTAGTCTGGGTAGACTAGAGAAATGAATCCATGGACACACATGGGTGTATAAGAAAGAGATTTATACATAAGAGCAATTGAACATTGAGAAAACATCCCAGCCCAGTCCAGATCAAGTCCATAAGTCCGACATTAGTCCATATGTCCAATACCAATCTACAAAGTTCTCTTCAGACTCATGAAACACATGCAATGATGCTGAATGTAGAAGATCACAGGCCAGTGGGTAGAAAGGCTTTGGATCTAGTGGTGGTGGAAGCAACCAGCTCTGGCAGGAGTCTCTAGGTGGCTTCTCCAGCTTCAGAGATCTGGTTGCATCAGGGTGGGTTCATGTGTCTTGTCACCTGCAAAGTCTCCCAGGGAGTGGCAGACAGAGAAGTGTCTCCTGCCTCCAAGGAGGAAGTACCAGATTTCCCGGAATTCTCAGAGAAGGCCATGCCCACACAGAGGCCTCATTGGCTATGATCTGATTGACAAGCTAGACTCCACCACTATGGTCTTAGTCCTCAAATTGACAAATGATTATATATATCTACCACAATTTCATTTTCATAGCATCATATATACTAAACAAGCGAAAGTTTTCTATGGTCTTTATTATAGAATAGTCTGGATCTTTTAAACTTGGCATCTTAACTAAAATAAACTTTGTAAATTATTACTGTATTCAACATTGAGGAAATATACCATTATTATTGTAAATATGATATGATCTTTCCTTTCTATGTAGCATGATACGCTCTTTAAAAAACTTACATGTATTGGTACAACTGGAAAGAGGCAGCTGAGTAGATAACCAATAGGCAGAACAAAATAAGACCTTGTACATGGACTTGAATATAAAGATTTCCAGTGTCTTAAGAATTCCCATCAAGCTAGGAACACTTTCTTTCTTTTATTGGGGGCTCGTACAACTCTTATCACAATCCAAATATCCATCCATTGTGTCAAGCCCATTTGTACATTTCCTGCCATCATCATTCTCAAAACATTTGCTTTCTACTTGAGCCCTTGGTATCAGCTCCTCATTTTTCCCTCCCTCCCTGCTCCCCACTGCTCATGCACCCTTGATAATTTATAAATTATTATTATTTTGTCATCTTACACTGTATGATGTCTCCCTTCACCCACTTTTCGGTTGACTGTCCCACAGGGAGGAGGTTATATGTAGATCCTTGTAATAGGTTCCCCCTTTCTACCCCACTTCCCTCCACCCTCCCTGTATTGCCACTTTCAGCACTGGCCCTGAAGGGATCATCTGTCCTGTATCCCCTGTGTTTCCAGTTCCTATCTGTACCAGTGTACACTATTAAGAATGGAAGGTCAGTTTTAGAGCAATAACGTTCTTCTCCCCCAAATGTAATTGATCGATGGATGGAATTCTGGACTGCAGCTTTCAAATATTATTCTTTCAATGGGCATTTTTTAGGTGCTTATTTTAAACATTCATGGCATAACAGTTCCAGAAGTTAGTATCATCATGGAGTTTCACTTTAACCAAATCAATGAAAAAGTTTTTTATAAAACACTGTTTACATTCTGGCTGTCAAGTAACATTTTATCATTAATACCTATGTTAGTCTGAGTATACTAGAGAAACTAATTTATAGACATTCATATGTGTTTAAGAAAGAGCTTTATATATGAGAGCAATAGAATATTGAGAAAATATCCCAGGTAAGTCCAGATTGAGTCCATAAGTCCAATATTAGCCGAAATGTCCAATACTAATCTATAAAGTCCTCTTCAGACTCACAAACCACATGCAATGATACTGAATGCAGGAAGATCA